GCAGCCCGGCGTTCCTTTGACTCCAGTAACACGAGGCAGGCGAGGCTCTCCTTGCTCCCTGCTCTTAATTCCCACCAGACGGACTTCCTTCCCGGGATGACCATTCGTCGCCCCAGTCCGGTTGGTTTTTCCTGCCTTGGTTTTGCTGATAACAACTGTAGGCAAGTTTTTGGATGTGACTCAATGTCAGGCATCTGCTCCGGAAGGGGGGTGTTCGTCCGGTACAACCGCCGCCTTTGCTGTGGTGATACCCACTTCGAATTGATGACCACATGCACAACTCTTAAGTGCTTCGTAATCTCAAATCTATCTTCCCATTTCATTGAGAAAACATTCTCGAGCAGAAATCATTTTGGTTTCGTCTCATTCATTATTCTTAGGACATCCACATATTTTCAGTACAATTTCTCCCCTCCCCAAAGCTCGGACATAGCTAAATCCACATGCATTCTTCCAAGGTCATTCCTCCCGGCTTTTCTCAGGTCCTGCCAATTCCACATGCATATCATCCTCCGTCCTTTCTTGCCTTATACTTAATTGTCCTTCCATGTACAATGCTTGACTCATTCCTTGTACATTTCTTTTCTAGACANCATGCATATCATCCTCCGTCCTTTCTTGCCTTATACTTAATTGTCCTTCCATGTACAATGCTTGACTCATTCCTTGTACATTTCTTTTCTAGACACCTTGTCAGACCTTCTTCTCAAGCCCATACAAGCCAATTATTCATCCACTTCCCGATCCGCTAGTCCTTTTTCTCAGGTCCATGTAAAGTCAATCATACCAATCTTTTCTTTCCTGGTTATCTTGCTAGGCTCCTTTCTCAAAGTCCCATCAATCACTTGCTCAAGTCCTTTTTGCTCTGGGCGTCCTGCCAGGCCCTCTTTTCTTAGACCCATGCAAAGCCAATTACAAGTCTTTTTCAGTCCTGGGCATCTTGCCAAACCCCTTTTTCTCAGGCCTATGCAAAACCAATTGCAAGTTTTTTGCATGCGTTTTCATTGGTAGATGGCACACCTTCCCCCCACTCAAAACGCAATGTCCCCATCGCGCGACTGGTTCTCACTCGGAGGTACGCAGACCTTTGGCCCACGAACCGCAAGTCAAGGACACAAGCCCACCCGCTTCACAAAAGGAAGAGTGATCAGTTCTTCCCCAGCGGACGACGCCTCATCCTTCTACCCGGTCCGACCTTTCTTCTCTTACGTGGCGAGCACCAATACTGAGGTTCCTCCTCACTTCCGGCAGGCAGGTCCAATCCGAGCCTT